TGAAGCGTGCTCGGGCCAAGCCCGGCCCATGTCGGGCCGTGGGCCGGCCCGGTCCATTGGACCTCATTTTTTGATCCCGGCCCGGCCCAAGTTTTCGTGCCGTGCCGAGCACGGCCCATTAATATTCGTGCTCGTGCCGTGCCGTGCCTCATTTAAATGGGCTGGGCTCGTGCCGTGCTAAGCCGGCCCGTCCCGTTTGACACCTCTACTTGAGCCCCACCGGAGCTGAACCCAAATGTATGTACCTGGTTGAAGCCCGTAAAACCCAGTGGGACCCGCATGGAGGAAAAGCTGCCAGCCCACATGCCTTGTTGGTGACGCCCCTTGCGACTTCCGCATCCCTACTCGCCCAAAAATGACAGTTGCTGACCAGTTTTCCTATTTTTTTAATCGTTTGGCCGATTGCAACAAGCTCTCTCTTTGTTTTTCGTTTTTTTAAAGTTGACTTGGGCTACAACGCTCGAGTTCTAAACGGCAAATTTAAAATATAAAAAAACCATGTTTTCAAATTTTGTCCAATTTTTATTTTTTTTGGTTGAAATGTTCACCCAAAAAAAAAAACTGACATAAATAAGGTAATAAAAAATAACACCTACATCAAACCCTAATATAGAGCCTCTCACTGTGAGAAAGATGCCTTTAGAGCCCCAACGATTCTACCAGAGCTCTAAATGAGGCTCTATCAACCTCTTTTAGAGCCCCAACCATCGGGGATGGCCTTATGTAATAAATGCAAGTTACACATGTATCTAAAGGTTCCTTGTCTTTGAGTCTCTCTAGGTCAGATTATTAGGTGTCATAAATTATGTTTTTAGAGTTATGAAGTATATTAATGGATCTTTCCAGAGCCATGTACCAATGACCCTATGAAATGGGATACTTTGTAAGCTTAAAAAAAGAAAGAGTTTTAGTGGCACAAAATGTTGTCATTTACTGCTGTTGTCATTCATTTGATCAGAAATATGATGAGAATGTCAAACTTTTAGTTCTTGTTTAAACTCTTTAGGATGTAGATGGGCTCAATTGATGCAACCTCACATGTCCCGAATTTTAAGTAGTATAGGTGTGTGATGATTAGAGAGGAGTTTACTACTTTAAGAAATTCATGTCTTCAAGAGTCTAACCGCAAGGAACATTGAAATGAAGCTCCTGCACTTTGACACTGCCTGGAGCCCATTTCTTCTGTGCTGTTCTATACAAGGCCACGCTACCTCAACCTGTAGGCAGGCTGGCTGTCTAGTGGACTTAATCACTGTGGTTACTATCCCCCCCACCCCACTTCATTTTGTCTGGTTTACATCCTTATGGACTCAGACTAGCAATCTATGATATTTATAATAACCTGTAAATCATCTTGCTAAAGTTATAATTTGATAGTGAGAGGATAGAAAAGTTAATAATTTGGATAATGTTCTGAATGACACATACTATCTCTAAGCAGGCCTCAAGAAGTTGTGATTTTCATTGTTGGAGGAACAACATACGAGGAGTCTCGCTCTGTAGCTTTACAAAATTCTATGAATACTGGAATTCGTTTTATACTTGGTGGTTCTGCGATTCTCAATTCTAAGAGGTATGCTTCAGGTCATCATTGTATTTTTGCAGAAACATTTGCATCATAAGTGCAAAAGAAGTTTACATTACTGTGCTAGCTGGACTTACTGCTTTGACATCTAACACTGGCTTTGAATGGTCTGACTTGATACCACGTCTTTCTTGTGTTGGATGCAAGTTTTGAGAGTTTTGGGCATGATTACTTTGGCCTCTGTAAATCTTAACTTGTCTTGGGGTTATTTTTGGTTGCATTACTAATTCCATATAGGTACAATTCATCTAGCATATTAGTTCCTAGAAAGTTTTGAGAACATGATAATTAAGCATCCACTCGCCTGATCAATCCTGGACAATGGGAGGTTGTGCTTGGTAGACAGTTGCTTAAGAGATTTTGGTACAAGTATTTATGCATCGACTGTTGGAGGTTTTTAACTATATGTTGTAATTGTTTGAGGCTATTCTAGTGAATTACTGTAGCTGATTGAAATTGTCTAATATGAGATGCTCTGCTGCAATTATTGTTTGGCTGGGAAAAACAGGTTCTTGAAAGATTTGGAAGAAGCTCAGAGAGTAGCTCGGATTAGCAATGCCGTCTGAATTTTGGGTTCTTGTATATCTTTCATTTCAAGAGCCATGTGCACAAGTGTTTGTGGATGTATACAGGTGTTTAGATATGGTCACCAGCTATAATATCAAAAATTGCCACACATGCTTGAGGGTTCATCAGAATCACCCTCTGTTCCTGCAGAACACACGGCCTTTTCGTTACCATTTTGTTGGAGTAATTACTGAAGGGGATTTGTACCCCATAAATTTGGAGGGTAAGATCTAACAGCAGTTTCCCTCCCTACCATAAGAAGCATAGAAAAGAATGAGATCTCACATCTTTGCACCAATTTTTTCACTAACCAAGCCGGATACCCTAGGACTTAATTAACATGTACTTTCTTGCCTTGTTCAGAAGAAGCTTGTCATACATGAAATCTCCCTATTCTTTTTATTTTAATATACATATTACTGTATCAATGCAGTTTGTACTTGAGATATTGTGAGAGATCAACAAAGTATCGATTTACAGTATCGGCTTCTTGTTGCAAATTCAGGTCTTGGTGAGAGTGTTGAGTTTTGATCCAGTCGTGCTAATAGTACCATGCAAACTATCCCTCCCAATATTATGAAGTCCATGCATAACTATTGTAAGGGACAGCATTTGAAAGAATTAAAAAGTAAAAGTAAAATTTACAGTGCAAAGGGCAACCTGGCCGGAAGTCCGACATGAAGCCAAACTGAGTCATAAAGGAATTGAGAAAACCAGATCGTTTTGCACTTTTTTATTTACAATATTTGTTTTATTAGGCTACAAAGTTCATAACGGAATTGAGAAAGACAAACTCAGATAAACCAACTTTAATATATATATATATATATATATATTTAAATGTTTCCTTTCGGTTTCATTTTTTGTATCTTATTTTGACAAGTTGTTATTGAAAATTGCATCAATAAAATATATTTTAAAGTGACTAACAGTTTCAAAGGTGATCTTTTTTTTTTTTTTGGACAAATGTTTCAAAGGTGATTTAAAAACACATAAATTATAAAAAATTTAGATGTGTTGGGTTTTTTTTTTTGAAGCTTCTATTCACAATTTAGATATCTTGTGTTCGATGTTTATCATAATGAATTTTTTATGAAACATGTTGATAAATGGAATTGTTATTTGGATCCATTTTTGTTTATATTTTGACGTGCAAATGCTAAAGGAGAACAATGGGTACCCATTATGCCCAATAAGTACTAATTGTTCATCCTTAAACTAGAGAGTACGAGAATGATCAATATTTAGAGTTTACATATCTCTTGAATTCTAAATAGAAATGCTAATGCATATGTCTGATTTTCGAACGCATTATATCAGAATTAGGGATTTCATTATAAAAACTTTTGGAATGAAAATTTATTGACATTGATCATAAATTTGTAAAATTCAAATTTTTTTTAGAAAGCTTTTTAGACTTATATATTTTAAAATCCATTCGTCAATAATTCAAACTTTTGAATATACCCAAAAATTTGAAAGGTCAAAATGAGCTTAATATATTTCGGAAATTTTCAAAGTACATTTCAATTCAAATATTTTCGTAATTTCGTTGGAACTGTGCTAAATTTGGAAATTTTTGGACCGACCAAATCGTAAAATGAAAAGTATTAAGCCGTTGATGTGATGTGAACTTTATATACATCAACAACCGAGCCCAGCACAACTCGTCTTTTGTGGCTTAAGTCTAGCAGGAAGGCAGATAGCCTTTGCCCTGCTGCCTGCACATCAATCTTAAACCCTATGACGCCGTAAATCCAAATTAAGTTTCCTACTTGATCACTGACAGAGATGTGTAGCTAAATTTTGCAATGGTGGGTAGCTGACAAACTGTATGGGCCGAAAAAAGAGCAGCAAGAACCTGGCAACCTGTCCATCTTCTTAAACCCTACAGTCTGTCTATTTATATATATATATATATATAGGCTATGTCGTACGTTAATGGTTTGGTTTGGTGCCTTCGAAATGTGAAATGATTAGGCAGAGCAGCCTAGGAGCCCTAGCTAGGAGGAGAGTTAGGGGAGACTTGTCTGAAAATAACCAACAACAAGACTTAAATACGAAGTGTGTTAGATCCTACTTAATTAACTCATCGGCCTCCACCACCACCACCCTATAAATAGAAAAACATCATTGCATGCACCACATGGAATTGATTGGTTTGCTTCTCTTCTTCTCTTTCCAAAATTTTAAATAAAATATATATCTGTGCAGTAATTTATAATTACAGCTGCGGTGGAGACTGAAAGGCCTTGAATTAATTAATTGGGACGGCTTGATTTAGACTCAGACATCAAAGTTTGGCTTTGGGGAACGTTTCTGAGTTGATAGTAAACTTGCAGATGCAGGCATATCATGATTATTGATTCTCTCTCTCTCTCTCTCTCTCTCTCTCTCTCTGACCTGTTGGATTCTCTGGCTCAGTTAATTGCAGTGTTACCAATACATCCCACAGAATCCCAACAGTGGTCATTATCAGGTTGGTCACATCTTAATTTTACTGACTAATTTAGTAAACTTGTATTTTTCGCATGTATATTTCCTTTGAAAAATGAAGTTCGAGATTACTTTGATTAGATATTTTCTTTAGGTTACATGAAATGAAATGAAAGAAGAGGACAAGGTTTGAATTTGATTAAGAACGCAAGATAAAGACTACCCAATAAATTTAAATCTAAAAGCTTAAGCTTTGGTTGGAAAAGATAAAGAAGGTAGCCCTTGATAGCGTAGGAGGGGGGCCGGGGGGGTCGGGGGCTATGCACATTGGATTAGACTTTAAATGAAGTTTACATAAGTCAAAATTTTATCATAAAATGATAGTAGAAGTGTTTTTTTAAAAGATAATTAGTCATATACCTATTCTTATCACTAAAACTATAAATAAACTCTACACCACTTAATTTCTATAAAAAAAACCCAAACAATGACAGCTTGCCCTATTGAATTTAATTTTGATTATTAATTTACTTTGATGTCATATTGAGTGTTTTGAGCTTTTTTTATGAGATTTTAGGGTTGGGTTTGTTTTAAGAAATTAATGGTAGTTTTGTAATTTAAAAGAAGTTAAAAACCTTTTTATTATGTTATAAACGAGTTTTTGGTGTGTTTCTAAAGTTCATTTTATATATGGTTTTTTTTATAATTTGGGCTCCTATATTGGGTATAATAGTGAATCTCTCCTTTTTAAAAGTATAAGTAATAGTCTAAATTATAGAAGATGAAAATTTCTCACATACACAACTAAGATGCCATAAAATTCGAACATGAGACCACTTGTCTGCAAATCAAAGTCTTTTTTCATTGGGCTAGACCCCGTTGGCAAAATGATACTAGAAGCGTTAAAATATCAAAAGAAAAAGACACAAAGAAAAGGAAATAATATTATTAAGTTGTATACGATCCTCCATGTAGCCCAGGCAAAAGGCCCCCTATGCCTCAAAGTAGGTTCCAGCGCACAAATCTTGTCAGGAGAAAAGATGAGCCTGAGCTCCTGTCCGTGAGTTGTGACGCCAACGCACGAAATTAAATTTTTTTACTGTTCGCACGTGACATACACGTGGGGACCACACACACAAACGGTAAAAAAATTTGAACCAACTGGCGCCTGCTTTCCTCCAATGGCTAGAAACCAAGTGGCGCTACCTGAGGTGTCCGATTAATTTTTTCCGTTGTCATCCAACGACATAAAAATTGAAAAAAAAAAATCGAAAAAAAGGGGAAAAAAATACCAAAAAATTATGATTTTTTTTTTTTTCTATAAATACCTACAAAATATTATTCACTTTCCACACCAAATTTTCTACTACTTTAAATTCTATTTGTGTAAAAATACAAATGACCTCTTCCACCGAAGCCGGAGGCTCATGGAAAACCATGGAAGATGTTTTGTTATGTGAATATTGGGTTCAAGTTGGTCATTGCCCGATCACGGGCAATGAGATGAAGTTCTCTCATATGTTGAGGAAAATTCATGAAGAATTTTATGAAAGATTGAGTTTGCCTCGTACGGAAATGGCCTTGGTTAATAGGTGAAATTTTTTTAATAAAGAATTAGGGAAATGAATAGATGCGTTGGAAAAAACAAGGGACAATGTTCGACGAGGCGAAAATCTTGACAATGAGGTAAATTGTTTTGTAATTGCTGTTTTATTTGTTGATATTTTCTTGCATTTCCAATTTTATTTTATTTTTAATTATAGATTATTCAAACACAAATGTGGTTCGGTGCCATTGGCCAAGGCAAAAAATCTTTCAACAATCACCAATGTTGTGAGGTTGTGAAAAATTGTCCAAGATTCAAAATTATTCCAAGGGTCCAAGCGTTGTGTTAAATGAGATGCTGCTCCACGATTCACCAGCATCGGATTCGCAGTTGAACAATCGATCAAGACTCACTAATCTAAAGAGAGTCAAGGCCTATTGAGAGAAATGCGACAAAAGCCAAGAGAATGAGCACTTCGAACAATGAATGTGCAAATTTTTTAGAGCAAATTGCTATCAATGGCGCACTGAGAATTGAGAGATACATGAAAATAAATGAGGCTGACAAGGCAAGAGATGACGCATTTGCAAGAGAAATGGAGTCTGCATACAAACAAAACATGGACAAGAAAGATCGGGAAACCATGATTATGGACACAAGCCAAATGTCCCATGAAACAAATGCATTTTGGAAGCAAAAACGAAGGAATATTATGAGAAGAATGCTTTTTTGTGACGATGGACCTAGCAACATGGATTGATTAAATGACAAAAACCATTAGGTTGTATTGAAAGAGGTGCGCTTTCTTAATTAGTTGTATTGATTGTGTTTTATTGAATAGAGAAAGCATTCAATAATATAGCCATTTATTTAAATAATTACATATATCAAAACAAAGCATAATTGAAAACAAACCACAAACAAAACAAAGTATAATTGAAAACAAACCACAAACAAAATAAAGCATAATTCGAAATAGACCACAAATAAAACAAAGCGTAATTAAAAATTAAAGCATTAAACTTGACTTCATTGACCGTGATTGTCTCTCAGTGCTTATAAGTGCTCGATCAAGTCAACTTGACGACTTTCATGAACATAAGAAGATTGCATTTTCGTATAACGATCAATCATACGGTTGTTGTAACGACTGTCTCTAATCAACGGTTCGTGCTCTAGTGGTTGTGAATTTGCTCTAATGTGTCATTCATAAATTCTTTTCAATTTCGTGTTCATGAGATCAACTTCGAATCTCTGGTTCATCATAATCATACTTATCCTCCACAATCATGTTATGGAGAATGATGCAAGCCATCATAATGCTCCGAAGCACCTATTCATCAAACATACGAGCAGCCCCCCTAATGATTGCCCACCGAGCTTTGAGGATACTAAAACACATTTCTACATCTTTCCTATAACCCTTTTAGTAGGCATCAAAGTATTTTTCCTTCTCCGATTGGGGATGCAAAATCGTTTTGACAAATGTCGTCCACCTTAAGTAAATTTCATCTGCTAGGTAGTACTCACCGAAGTGGAAGGTATTGTTGATTTGATACGTGATCTGAGCGGAATGTCCTCTCAACACATTGTTGAATATTGGGGATTGATCGAGCACGTTATGGTCATTTTGAGATCCTGCAACTCCAAAAAATGCATGCCAAACCCAGGTATCAAATGATGTAACGGCCTACAGAATGATACTTTTTTGGCCCATTCTATTCCTATAATATCCTTGCCATGTAATTAGACGATTATTCAACTGCCAGTGCATGCGGTCGATACTTCCAATCATGCATGGGAAACCTCTTTTCTCGGCTTTTTGTAGAATTCTTTGGAGATCCTTAAGCGTAGGTTTGCAGAGGTAATCCCTCATGTTGATAGTTTCGATTGCATTCACATAATCTGACCGTGCACTCTAGGATAGTGGATTTCCCCACCCTAACAATCTCATCCACCTGGTTTGCAGATGCGCCATATACAAGCAACCTTAAAGAATCTGTAAGTTTTTGCTCCGAAAGAAGACCCAAAATCCTAAGAGCATCGTACTTTTGAATGAAGTATGCATCTCAATTGCAAACATCATGCATGATTTTATTGAACAAATGGGGGCTACATTCTATATCGCCCTCGAAAATCAACACTAGAGTACAACGAATTTAGGATAAATTAATTTTCCAAGAGATTCTTACCCCAAGAGTGCCTACATCTGTCCACGTTCGGGCCACGATCGGGTTATGAACCACGGTGGTGTTGGCTTGATTGATCAAGCATACCCACCACTAAAACAACTTGATCATCTTTTGCTTCCCACTCCCTTTCTTCTTTAGCACGTTTGCGCATTCTTTCTTTATTTTCTCAGTCGGCCCTCTCCAACAACCTCCTCATATAAGACATTGAAAGTAGAATGTGTTTTGTAAAATCTGATAAATGAAAGGATAGAGAGGATATAGATGATTGGTGTGAGTTGAAGGTATGGTTTTTTAATATGATTTAGAAGATAGAGAAGACACGTGGCCCAAAAGTAGCAATCGAAAATCTTATTCAAAATCTGACATGTGAATAGTAACAGTAATTACCTCTCTTTGTCTTTTGCCATGACAAATAGGGTGAAAATGCTCTTAGAGAATTTCCAGCAAGGGGCCCAAGGGGAGGGCTGGGGGGGATTTGGGGTAAAAACTCGTTTCCAGCAGTGGAGGCAGGCCCGGGCAAGATGGTGGGACCCAGCAAAATTGGATGGCCCGTGCTGACGTCATCGTGACGCCAACGCTACAGTGTCGCCAACAATTATGTGCCATGTGTCGTGTCCTAGGCTCTCCGATCATAATTTTTGCTCCAATCCAACGGCAGCCAATTTTTTTTTTTCTCTCTATACCTTATTTCCATTTTCAACATTTAAGTAAATGTCTTTGTCCTTTTACTTTTATTTATTTTTATTTTACTCTATTTACTTAAGTTTACAATGTAAAATAAGGGAGTACCCCCCATTTGGATTCAAATAAAAATACTAGAAAATCAAATTCCCACCAAATCAAAATATGAAAAATCGGTTTTAGTGCAAAATACGATTTAGGCTAAAAATGATGGCTCATTAAGTCAATATATACTTCATAATAAAATCCCATAAAATCAAGTTTTCTTATTTGATGTGTAAGGAATAAAAGCCGCCAAAAATTATCTTGAGAAAATGATTATTCCGAAAAACCATTTTTCATACTTAGTCAATATTGCACCTCCGCTTTTAACACTTTTAACACCAAATCCTCATACTTTTTTTTCTTTTTTTTTCTATAAATACCAACCAATACAACTAATAAAATAAAATCTTATCTGAAAATATTATCCAATAAAATAAAATCTTGCCTTTCATTTCATAGTTTGCTTGCCTTTCATTTCATTGTATTTTTTTTGTTTTGTTTTAATAATTTAGTGGTCATTCATGTATTTTATTTTATTAGTTGTATTGATTTATTTGAATTTTGAATTTTGAATTTTATATGAAATTTGAAACCAAAAATCTTATCCGATATGAATAGTATTGACATGTAAGAACCCAAAAATCTTATCTAAAAATATTATTCAAATCAAATGTTTAAGTAAACAAAGTTGTGAAAAAAACAAAAAAATGAATAGTATTTGCCATGGCAAGCCTAAAATTGCTGGAAACACACTTTGCTGGGGGGCTAGGGCAGCTACTATTCACGTGAATAGTAGCCACCCTAGGGCTCCCCTTGCCATGGCATGGGGTTAATTGGTGGAAGTGCTCTTATAAATGCCAAATTATCTGACTCCAAATTCTTTTGAAGAAAAATTAAAAAAAAGGAGAAATAATGTTGCCAATAGTTGGAAAGACCCATAAAAAAAACAGAGAAAGAAAATGCTCACATCAGCAAAGAAGACTATAGAATGCCTACACTTGAAACAAAACACAACAACCCAAAAAACTATAGAACCTTTATGGTCAGAAACATTAATTTAAGTCCAATCGTAGATCCATGGAAGTAGGGTACGATTTATTAATATTTTGTGTCATAGTTAAGAAAAATAATTTCGAATATTGTCACGTCCAATACAAACTTATAGATAGCAGTCTTATCAGACCAGATAAAAATGGGAGCTTTTAAACTTTCACCAAACCCTTTTGACATTTGTTGTCATCTTCTGGATCCTCATTAATGGAGTTACTGTCTATGAATGTTGTTTCCAAGGTTAATGACTTGTATAATATGCACAGCCATTTCAACACATTATGAAGCAAAAGATTATACTAAGTTCATATTTTTTTTCATTAAAAATCTTAAATATGACTAAAGTTTTTTTTTATTCCTTACCAAAAAAAAGAAAAAAAAAAGAAGAAAACAAAGGTATCGAACACAGCACAAGTCAAGAAGGTTCCTGATTACACGAATGCGACTTTTAGCGATGCTATGTTTTGTCTTATAATTTTCTTTTCTCTTGCGAGAAAAACGTTTAAGAGCATTTAGTATTTACATTTGAGGTCCTAAGTTCTATTTTCCTTCAAATTCGCTTGTATAAAAATAATAATTTTTTATTAAGCATTGTTAAAAAGAAAATACTTGGTTACTTCCGTTTTCATTTATCCGTTAATCACAATTTAACACGAGTATAAAAAAATAATAATTTAATTGTCTGGGTCTCAACAAGGCTTTTTTTCATTATTTACTGTCATTTTCTCCCTCTTATACCTAGTGATTCTTTTGGATAAGCATGGAAGCAGAAGCTGCTTGTTAGATTTATTTCTTATTTTTCCAAGTCTTTCTATCTGTCTGACTTAGACTTGGATCCCAAGTCTCTCTCTCTCTCTCTCTCTCTCCCCTTCTGTCACAAGAGACAAATGCCATCGGATCAGACACCTTTTACACTTGTCCAAATGTCTAGGGAAATGTCTCAATTCGAACAATATAAAACAACCATTTTTCCAATAGTGGATCTCTGTATATTTCATTGGAAAAGCAAAATTATAAATAAAATAAAAAACAAGGCCAAACCAAAATGTTGGCATGCGTTTCTCCATTAATTCCTTCTGCTTCAAAACAGTCTCAAGACTTGATGAGCAAGTTAATTTCAGTCAGCAACTGAGGCCCTCATGAGCAGAATACTAGTAAAAAAAACCAATACAAAAATGTCTGGCTCTGAGACACCTAGGAAATAGCTCTGGAAACATACAAAACTTTGAGGTCTGCCCCAACAAAATTGACCTGAAATAAAAGAAAATTGAGAGGGGATCAAAATTAAAGGAAAATTGAAAATGGTGTCCAAGATCCAAGATCACAACATTGATCTGTACTCTTCTCTGCAGCTTCAAAATGGCATGCCCAATTAGTCCTAATTTTGCTGGGATCAATGAGTAGTTGTAAATTGGGGTTCACTCTTATGATCCATAATTCCCATTTCCAGATTGATTGAGACTTTCTTGCAATCTTTGGAGAGCCACTTGGATTGCATGTACTTGGCTTTTCTCCAAGGAGGAACACGGAGGCCATTCTCCTTAAGAGATTGTTTTGCAGCTGGGCAAAGCAGAGATATAATTTTGTCAAGCTTTTCTTCTGTCCCAACAAAGATGGTGGGCAGAGTGTCTTTGAGCTGCTTGTAGTTTTGTGTAGGTCTTGCCAGTTCAAATTGAGACCTAAAATCCATGTCCACTATAAGCCTTGTCACTTTGACATTGTTCTTGTCCTTCATCATTACATCAACATATTCATAATCACCTGTAATTTGACGAACTTAAAACAAAAAAAATTAACCCATCAAAACCAGAAATGGGTTTTTAAAAACAAATGAAATTTTCAGACATTGAGGGAGAGAGAGAGAGAGACAGAGTACCTTCAGAGAGCCTAAAAGAAGAAACCCATGAAGTTTTGCAAAGGGAGGCTTCATAACCATCCTTTTTTAGTTTCATCACAACCCATTTGTTTTTCAGATTGTTGGGTTCCATCAAAGTCTCAGTGTTCCTCAAATACATCAACACTTTCTCAAGAATCTCAATCTCACAATCGGTTGCCCTCCATATTATCTCCTTTCAAAAATAAAATAAAAAACCAGCATAAAATTAATTACCAACAAAAAAAAAGGAGAAATGTACATATACAGTAGTAAAAGGAAGCTTTAGAAAAACAGAAGAGACCTGTAAAGTGAGATATTTGATTTGATGAGGAGGAGAGAGGGGCTGTGAAGATGATAATGAGTTGGGTGGTGGAGCTGATGAGTCTGATTCATGGAAATCTCTCACCATTTGCATAAGTTCTTCTTCTGTTAAGCTGCCCATGATTTTCCTCTGTAAAATTTAATCTTGGCTTCCTTGTAGGAGAAGAGTTGTATTTATGAGCAAGTTCCAGAATAATGAGGTAACTTCATTTTTATTTCCATTGCCTTGTTTGGTATTGCCTAGGAGCTTGACTTTTAGCCATTGATATAGTGATGTCATCAAGAAAGGTGTGAAAAAAAAACAATAAAAAGAAGGGAAAAGGCAAAGAAAAGTAGTGCCATTGTAATCATTAGTACTGCACTGCATATCAATATCCTTAACTGTCACAGTAATTAAGTTATGGATATTGGATAAAGGACAAGGGCATTAATGTCATAGCCTGTACCATGCCTCCTAGTCAAGTTTAATATTTTAAAATTATAATTTGATTTGTTAATGTTTCAATGTGGTTGAAATTACATTTTGGACATATTGGTTGGCAGAAAATGTGATTTTTGTCCTAATTCATCAAGGAAGTATAATTAATCTGAAGGTAAGTTTAGTGAAATAAAAGTTAAGGACTGGAATTTGAACTTCTCATTTGAGACTGCTTTTTTAAGAAGCACTTTTAGTAAAATCGTTTTTATTATAAAGACATTGGCCTAGTTTGGCATTGCTATGATGTGAAAATAATCGTTGTCAGATTTGTTGTGAGAGAAATTAGCTGTGAGAAAGCAGTTTGGCTTTTGGTAAACTTTTTGTTAAAAGTGTTGTTGGTACTAATTCCCGCATAATCAGAAAATGATTCCCTCATAATCATTAAACTCAGCGTCTCTTCGAAACTGATTCATAAACTTTTTCTTTTTCCTTTTGAAAATTGCATATTGACTTACAGAAGGATAACATTCCTCGAGTAACAGATTGTATATAGGGAGATTCACTATTATATTTAATATAAGGGCCCAAATTATAAAAATACCCTATATGAAATTGACTTTATAAACACACCCAAAGCTCATTTACAACATAACAAAGAGGCTTTAACTTCTTATAAATTACAAAACTGCCATAAATTTTTTAAAATAAGCCCAATTCCAAAATCTCATAAAAATACCCAAAACACTCAATAGGGAATTAAAGTAATTTAATAATCAATATTAAATTTAATAAGACCAGCTGTCATTTTTTGGGTTTTTTTTTTGGGTTTGTTTATAAAAATTCAATGATATAGGGTTTATCTATAATATTAGTGATAAGAATGGGTATATCACTAAATATCTCTTGTATATAATCTTTTTTTTTTATAATTATTTTTTAGGGTTGTGTGTATAATCCGTGTTTAAGTATTAAATTGTGATTATGACTTCAGCTTTTATTTAATAAATAAAATATTATCAGATGATTGGGCTTGAGACAAAGTTATAAATAATAAGTCGTATAACAATTTTTTTTTTTTTTTAAATAAGGAAAAAAGAAAACAATCATTACAATTTTTTCCTTGAAAAGCAACTGGCAAAAGTCTTTAAGTTATATGGACATCTAGCCATTTTGTTTTTTGGTTTTCTCCTCCTGACTATGCTGACTGTGATTCAAGATGATAAGGTTGGCATTTCTTAGTCGTTGCGATTTTCTTTATAATTAATTCTTGCACAGGCAATATTTTTATCAATTAGTTTTTTATCTAGTAATATTTTTGATTTAGTAAAACTGATGCTATTTCTTTGAGCTTCTTCCAAGTCCTTCAAGGACCTGTGTTTCCCAACCAAACAATAATTGTAGCAGAACATCGTAAGTAGTACGTTATCACAAATTTCTTGAAGTAGTTTGTATATCAACCCAAAGTTTGTCTTACATTGCGAATTGGGTCGCAAATTATGTAAGTTATAACGTAGTGTAAGCAATGACGCGTTGTTGCGTAAGCCATTTCGGAATAGAAATATTATAACTAAAAAAGATAAGACATAATATATACTAGCCCTTTGGCACACGCTCACGCATGTGCCAATTGGTTTTCTTTTTTTATTTTATTTTTAAAATTAAGAAAAGTAGGGCTTATTATCTGATTTTATTTTTAATTTTAATTTTTTTAATATGAAAAAAATATGAATTTACCATATTATCCTTATTTAATTAATTATTTTAATTCTTAATGCTTGAATTAACCAATGACATTTTCTGGTATTTTGAATGTTTTACCATTCTCTGCCTTTTACTTTATATATACTAGCCATTTGGCACATGCGTTGTTTTCTTTTTTCTTTTTTATTTTATTTTAAGAATTAAGAAAATATAACATGGGTAGTTATGTTCTATAAAAGTAGGACTTATTATCTGATTTTGTTTTTCATTTTAATTTTTTTAAAATGAATAAAAGTGAATTTACCATATTATCCTCATTTAATTAATAATTTCAATTCTTAATGTTTGAATTAACCAATGGCATTTTTTGGTATTTTGAATGTTTTACCATTCTCTGCCTTTTACTTTATATATACTAGCCATTTGGCACATGCGTTGTTTTCTTTTTTCTTTTTTATTTTATTTTAAGAATTAAGAAAATATAACATGGGTAGTTATGTTCTATAAAAGTAGGACTTATTATCTGATTTTGTTTTTCATTTTAATTTTTTTAAAATGAATAAAAGTGAATTTACCATATTATCCTCATTTAATTAATAATTTCAATTCTTAATGTTTGAATTAACCAATGGCATTTTTTGGTATTTTGAATGTTTTACTATTCTCTGCCTTTTGCTTTATATATATATATATATTTTTTTTGTCTTTTGCTTTATATATATATATATATATATAATAACTACCAAATTATCAGCACTCCCCTCTAAACTACCACTAAACAACTTCAATTGAATAATTGAATATAAATGAACTAATTAAAATAATTAACCCATAAACCGATTCAACTAAATACCTGAGCATACATAAGAATTTCCGAAATTACAAAAAATTCAATTTCTGAAATTGCCCAAAATCATACAACCACAATCTAAAAAAGAAGAGAACATACACGTATCGACTAGAAACCTCAAGTCACAAATATGGAGGAAAGGCAACACCTATCGATTAGAAACATCGAAGTATGACCTTCAATTTCATGGATCTGTGTCAATTTTTAGGTAAATTTGAGGTTTATGGTTTGTTTTTCAGAAGCAACAACTATCAACGTCATTTTACACATTTTTTTCTCTTTCAAAAAGAGAAAAATTCCATAACCCGCGTCAATGCGATAGTGTGACGGCGATATAGCTTACACGATGCTATTTGACACTTCTGCAAAGATAGTCCGCTATGTCTGAAAAAGAATTCCGAGACACCATGAAGCTCGCGACAAATCCGCTATTTAAAACACTCTTACCCAGCATTTTAATGCTCTTTTATTTCCAATTTCATACTTATTTGAAATTACAATGAACTACACGATACTTTCTTCTGTTAATACAATTGATAGTTTAAACAACTTAATTAATCTAATTTGGGATTCAAACTAAGATGCAAGAAGGCGGACTTACTGGCCTAACTCATACCTGCGAATGACACAATAAACACATCTTCTATACAAGCTTTCAACTTTGTTATATACAGAAATAGCAATATACCTGAAAACAAAGTTTTTTTTTTTTCAACATTATCTTAGGGAGATCATTTTTCTCCCAATTTAGCACGAGTTTCAGAATAATTGTTTGTATAAGACTAGCAAAGATGATACAGAGGAATGAGTTACACAACAAAATACAGATTGGTGAAAAAATTAGTAGTAAGGTTTGGTACACAACATCTCTAGATGGCCTGATGAAGTTGAATGGAAGTTTTCCTAATGCCCAGCAGAATCTTCTTTAAGACTTCATGAGAATCTATAAAATGATTTCCCAAAATTGAAGAATGAGATATTAAGGCAGCCGGATGCAGCTTTCACACAGTGAAAAACTTGGTTGTCATCAAATATTAACTAGTTACAACAGTTCAGGATTGAGATCTCTCCCGCATTTTGGCTCTAGCAAAAAATACTCCAGCCACAAGACCTACCAAATTGCAATTTTTTATGGTTAATGCTACAAAACTCTATTGTCTTTGCAAAGTAATAAAGTAGTACATCACATTCTGAAGCCAGTCTAGTTGAGAGAACTTACCAAAGAAAATGCTAGCGGAGTTCTCTAAACTGGTCGGGACTTTGAAAAGTAGGATACCAGCAACAGATAGAGGGATCTTATTCAGCGACCCCACAAGGCTGCAGACATTGAGCAGTCATTAGAGATGTCACTAACACCTCCTTATTCGAAATAAGCATAGCAATTTAATCATATGCTAAACCGACAACACAAAACTAACACGAAACAATTTTCACATATAAATATAAATATGGGGTTGTTTTAAATTGGTTTCCAAGTCTTATTGCATAACTGGCCATTCCTAGTGTATATTTTCCAGCTTTGGGAAGTGTCAGGCTACATCAACCACAACTGTAAGATATCAAGCTGGCCAGATTATGCTATGTAACAAAAGAAATCAATGCTGACGATCCATTCAGCCTCGAAAAAGGGATTTTAAACTTATTGCACCAGGCTTCAAAAGTTTCATTATTAAAAAAAATCACTTATAAATTTGAAAGCTAATAATAACATATCAAGGGTTTAAGCTCAGTAATCAAAGTCTCATTTAAACCAGGTCGGAGTCCTACAAATATCATACTATGCATCAGCTACATTCAGCTTACCTGTATGTGGTGGCACCTGTTTGATGAAGAAACCACATAGACGTGAAGCTGATTGCAAGACCAGAAAATCCACTTAGCGTCATTACCATCCAGAAGGTTGGTAACCTCAAAAGTGGTCTGCCATTTTAATTCAACCTTCATTAGATTCAATAGGATAAAAGAAAACAAAATTTTATAAGAAAAACAAATGTAAAAACTTTTGTTCTTCCTGTTTTTCTGTTGACAAGTAGACATCCCACATGGTAATTCTAGACCTCAGCATAGCTAAATGGGCTTGCATACACATTATTAGCTAGTCATTGCAGTTTCAGGCAGAAAACAATAACAAAATAAAACCAACGATGACAAAACAAACTTTGGAGTACTTCATGCATATTTTTAAATTACTATACCATATGTTAGAGACAGTGTAGTCCATCTGAAATATTTCACACTTTGATAAATATTTCAGGAGGGGAACAGGCAGGAAAGGAAGAATACAGAATAGTAGGAACCTAATCGAACGACATCGTAAAGTGGTAGTTGCAAGCTTTCTGTCCACACCTATCATATAGATTCTAATTCAATATTCAATATGACAAATTCTAAAGAAGATGTGTGTGTGTGTGTGTGTGTGTGTGCAAGTTATTCCTCTTTCAGTAGCTGATTTGCACTTTCCTTTGTATTGTAGGAGTTTCCATACTTCTATATATCTCCAAAAACATCCAAAGTTTTAACTACATTAACCAAAATGACCTTAGATAGGAGAAGGGCTTTGATAACCCTCCCACACATTAAATTATGAACTATGGCTAAACTCATAACTCGCAAGCATATAATTTAGACTACAACCATCCATCTTTATTGTTAATAAAAAAAATTAATTACATCAATATAACACAGTAGACAGTGTGGTGGTAGATGTGGCATATATTAGACAACCACTAGACCTTAAGAACTTTAGTTGCTAGGGATTAGGCCAATGACGTACGTCAAGCTAACACCCTCCCTCACATCACATGTAGCCACATCCTGCACGTGGAGAGGCAACGGCATGTAGAAAGAGAGGTAGAGAGAAACATATACGTGTAGCCCAACCCCACACCTTGCAAAGCAACAAAGAAGCGGGGAAATAATATCAAAGCAGAGCAAACAGAATACTCACGTTGTAAA